GTTCCCTTGAGCCTGAATTTTATTGTTATTTTTTAGTATCCTTAAAATAATTTGTACTTTAAGTATAAAGTATTATTTGTTGTATACCTATTAGGTTATTTATAAAAAAAAAATATTTCAAATGTTTTAAAATTGTTTCTGCAAGTGAGGCACAATGGGCATCACCTTATAACACTCCTATATCACGAGAACGGCAACGACAAGTGAAATCACATTCACAGGGTAAAAAAATCTCATTCACAGGGTAAAAAAAATCACATTCACAGTTATAACAGTGATTTTGAAATCACGCTTCAGCTCATCTCTAGTTTGAAGCATGGGTCACCCTGTCCAAAAACGATAAAACAAAACGAATTGTGGTTAAACGGTAATCCGATACCAAACTGCTTTGCATCTGTCCTCGGAGCCCTTAATTTTATATTTTAAAAAAGCTGAGAGAGGCAATCGAGCAGCAACGAGAACAATACGAGCTCAGAATTAAACTATGGAGGCAGAGAAAAATTACTGGCTAGAAAAAACAAAAAAATTGTAAAAAATGTATAAAGCAACAACCAAATAAAATTATAAGATGGCTCATGGTCATTCTTRAAAATTTATAAATATGAAAGCTTTTCTTAAGGCTRAGCCATTATTGTCTGCTCCTATAATTATGTTATGCTCATGGGATTCTTCATTTTCAATGTCTCCAAAATTTTCCTCTTGCCTTTGCTTAGAAATATTATGGAAAACAGCAGCAGCACGTATTATAGCAACGGAAGTTTTCGAATTTGTTGCAAGACCTCTCCGTAAGCAAGGAAAGCGTCTTTTCCATGCGCCAAATACTCTCTCAATAATACAGGGTTATCCATTTTATGCTTTGCAAAGTAAAGTCAAAAACACACACACAATATTCAGATAGAGACAAAAATTTTAATTCAATATAAAGATTAAACCTTGTTATCATACGTGAAAACAATACCATTTAAATGTCCTCCACGGGACCTCCTACAGGCCTCAATCCCTTTGAGGTAATTTTGAATGACTTTTCGGCACATTACCGTTAATATCTCGGTCATAACTTCGCGGATATTGGATTTCAGTTGCTGAAGAGTTTGAGGATTGTTGGCGTGAGCACGATCTTCGGTAAAATCGCAGGATCTTGTGGGCCAATTGACATCACTCAATCTCAAAATTAAGCGTCCTGGAAATGTATCTTGCAATAGGGCTCTAACTGCCAATGTTATGTGACTCGTTGCCCCATCCTGCTAGAACCACATGTCTTCCAGATCATAATCTTCCATTTCTCTCCAAAAATAATCGGTTAACATGCGTCCATAGCGCTCAGAATTGACTCTTCCGGCTCTTCCTTGATCGTGTTCAAAAAAATACGGGCCAATAACACTACCGGGCCGTAATGCACACCATACGGTCACTTTTTCAGGATGCAAAGGCCTGTCTGCGATCACCACGTAACCACCGAGCGAAAAATAACCCTCATCGCTGAAGAAAATTCAGTTCGAAAAATCATCATCAACGGCTTGTTGTTCAATCACCCAATTTGCGTATGTTCTGCTTCGCCCATGCTCTTGAGGCTTAAGTTATTGAGTCAATTGGACTTTGTACGGATGGAACTTCAAATCAATTTTAAAAAAAGTAAGACAAGCCCAAATGTCGAGCACGTCATCTTAATGCATAGAACCTTAAGGCTATCAGAAGTTGCAGTTGAGCAGGAATACGTAAACCTCTTCTACATGCACTTCCAATTCTACTTAAAACTAAAGGTATTAGTACATAGATAACGGTTTCTTTCCAAAACCGATAGGTCTGAACACATTCCTGCTCTCCGTAGAATTGGAAAGGATCTTGCATGTCTCGTATGTATCGAGATCTTCCATATTAATAATATTGTAACGGAAATGGCCTGGGGTACTCACGTTTGGAATGGGGGGATCAAAATTCATGGTATTTCAGTAAATGGGAGCCCCATTTGCGCCCCA